GAGCCAGGGCCTGGCACCAGTGGGGGGCGGCGGCGGCACAATTTCTGCGCTGATGGCGGGGCACTGGGCTGCAGCCCGGCAGCAGCAGAGGTGGTGGCAGCGGCACAGAGTTGTGCCCTCCCCATTGTCTACACTTGTGTATCGTCTATGCTTAGGCACGTGTTTGAAGTGTTCAACTTAAAGGCTTGCTTCCTTGCTTTGAAGAGGGATGGACTTAACCATCTGTTTTACAGCTTACTGATAACCACTGCCAGAAAATATGTGATAGGCCCAGCACCAAATGCTCCATACTATAACATAATTGGGCTGAAGCTGAAACCTGGATACATCTGCTCTTTCTAGGAATTTTACATCTTTCTTCAATAATAGCAGTAAAAGGTGCTGAACCAGTGCTCCAGACTTCGGAGTATTCAAAATCTAAACACAGCTCCGTAGGAAAAAGATCTTGCTTTTTTTGATGGATGAACCAGAAACCTGGATGAGAACGTAACAGATTTCAGGATGTTCAGAATCCAAGATTCAAACCTTGAGACTTGATCCCACATCCAGTAAAAAATGGGGATGAGTATTCAATCCAGAGGCTTCTCTTTGGTATGTGGCTTTTGCTTTTAACATTTCAACTTTTCTTATGAATAAGTACAGTATGGTTGTATTAAATGATAACATTCACGTTTGTCTCGCACATCTGTGCATGCAGCGAGTCTCCTGCTTGGATAAGATGCGGGTTACGATCCCGATTCTAGCCTCCAGATCTTGTCAATCCCTGAAAGCAAAGTTCCACTCTCCTGCTTTCTTGTGAATGAGCCGTGTTTCTAATCCTGCAGTTTTGTTGATGACTCCCATGAGGATGGGTGTTTTCCTTAAGGCCCCAGCTTCCAGACTCATGTCAGCATGCAAGAACCTCCACTCCCACTTAAAAGAAATAGGTGTTTCTAGCTTTTGTGGCTGCAGAGAAGGATGTGCAAAAGCCACAGTGAAAAGGAAACAAACATATTAGTTTTTTGATCTTGCAATTTTTTTATTTTTATTTTTTTTAACAACTGGGTTGGCAGCATTGGATGTAAGAAAGGCAGTGGGTTTCTGGTTGATACGTGTCCTTCATTAGCCAATTGCCTAACTCATAAGAAAATATGAATAGCCCAGTTTCTTTGATAAAAGAAGACCAGGACTATTTAAAAAAAAAAGCTTCTAAGGTACTATTTTGGCTTATTGCTTAGCTTGTCACATGCAGCCATGACCTGCACCAGAAAAAATATTTCTGAGATTCAGCTTACTGCTTTTTTATTGATACAATATTGGCTCAGTGACCTGAACCTCCTGGAAGGGGGAGTTTGCGCAAGGCAGAAACACTGAAGCAGCCCTGAGCTAGTTTCTGTTCAGCCCAGGGTCTTGCCTAATAATAATTTTCATGTGTTTCAGGGATGTTCATTGGATCCGTGTTGGTCTATGTGCACAGGCAGACAAGGTTATTTGGGTAAATGTGACATGTTTTATTAGACCACCTGAGTAGTTGGAAAAATTGTTCTTTGCAAGCTTTCAGGAAAAGGTGCTCTTCTTCAGACATAGGGAGAGTCTGCTGGTGCATGTCTTAAGCCAATATGTGAAATGCAGGACATTAATGTGAATGTGTTTCATACATTTGGGGAGATGGATGGAGGAAAATGGGAAATCTCTAATCTCTTTAGTTGATTATGTCTAACAAAAGTCCCATCAGCAGCCCTTGCTCAGGCAAAGATCCTGTTACATAAGGGCTGAAGGTGCAGGGGAGAGGCTTTACAGGAGGGAAAAGCAGCATGCATTGCATTTAGTGATCTGGGAGTCTGTTGTATATTTACTTACTTTGCTTCCCCCCACTGTGTTTCTATTATTGCTATCTTGTGCATCGAATCTGCAGGAGATTTGACTATTGACCACAACCAGACAAGACTTGTTTAGGTTTTAGCCATCATTTGTCCTAGCTTTCCCCTCTGTTAAAGTGCCGACAGGTAAAACACCTATGCCAATAACAAGTTTACTCATAGCTGAGTACATCTGAGGAAGTGAAGGCACTAGCCTGCTTATCAAGTACTGTTTTTCAACAAGAACACTTCTTGTTGCAGTTGTGCAGTTGTGTTAGATTTTCTTCACTACCAACTTGGGTGCTGGTTTTGACTTGGATGTCATGGGCAAAGGCTATTTGTTGGGAAGTGGCTGGACCGAGCTTTCAAAAATGGCATTGGACATAGTTTGGATGCACAAAATGTGCCTCTGCAGAGTGAGGTGGAGTGTAAGGGGCAGAAATCAGGTCATTAGGTGTCTGTTTGATAAGTGCAAGAAAATGCCCTTTTATTTTTGGGAGGCATGGACATACAAGAGCAGCGGATGCTACTTTAGGAGTCTGTCCAACAGCAAATGTGAACCTTTGGATGAGCTGGGGTCATCTGATGTAGGCCATATGCATTCTGCTATGTAACCGGTGAGCAGTATTTTAATTCACCTGGCTGGACGGTTTAGCCTGCCCAGAGAGCTCAAGCTCACACTTCCTCTCTGAAATCCCCAGAGAGAGACATTTCTTGTGATCGTTCACCGCTTCCCATGCACAAGAAACACCAGGGTGCAATGCCAAGTGTATTCGTTGTTAGCAGGAAGGGCAGGATAAAAGGGACAAACCGTTCTGATTAGTGATCGTTTGGCTTTAGGGTAAGTCAGGGAAGTCCAGATATGGCAGTCCTGATACTTTTCAGGTTCAACCCAAAGAAAAACCAAATACCTTCTTGGGGTTGGGGAATGGGAAGTTAGTCTGACTAAAGACACAGAATAACAAAACGTGTCACTTTTCCTCCCTTTTGCAATCGCACAGATGCTCGTTGTGGTCAGACTAAATGATCTAATGGGGCCTTCCAGCCTGAAACTCTAGGAAGACGGCCACAGATACAGACCTTTAACTTTGCTTTTATACTCCCTTCCTTTTGCCTCTTGTAAGGAGAGCAATTTTGGATCACAAGGGCAGTGAGTAGAAATATAATCTTTTTCAGATCAAAATTATATGAAGTAAATGGTGTAAAAGAGCTGGACTTGAGAAGAATTGCATCATTCACTCGGTACACGAGGTGTTCTCCAAGCATGGCTAATCTATGGCAGAAGAAATCCATCTGTTTCATAAACTGGTTTTCGATGTGTGGGACTTCACCGTGACCTTCATTGGTTCACGTGCCCCGTGCGTTTCAGACATCTTTCTCTTTTCTATAAAGCACTTGGCAAACTTCATATAAAAATACTTTTTATTAAGCTTTCCACAGGTTGGCAGCAGACAAGGAAAGAACAAGTTGACTTGACAGTACACAAAACAGCAGGTCTTAGTATATACCTTGTGTCAAAGGATATATATCTTAACCAGTATATAATAATTACCAAACTGAGCCTGTTACAAGATCCAGACACTGCACACACAAGCCAGGACAAAAATTTGACTTCAGATGACAATACTGATTAAACCAACAAATGTTACTGGAATGAGTATATTATTTCTTTTATTCCTAGCAAAGGCCAAGAAACACAGTCATGTTGACAGCAGCGACGTGTACTTGGGAATCACAAAGTCAGAGGGTACTTTAGGGCTACCTGACAGCGCGTGGACCTCTTATTTGCAGATGTAATTTCAGACTCATGACCTCCAGTTCCTTTATACGGTCCTGCTAAATCTGAGCTCTTGCCATGGTAACTAATTATTATGTATTTATCTTACAATAGCATCTTGAGAACCCTGCTGAAATCAGAAGGTAATATGCACTCGCAGTCAGAAACCTTCCCCGCCCCAGAAGAGGGTACAGTCTAAAAAAGCAAGAATTGTCAAGGCAGTGGATGGGAAGCGGAGACAAAGTGCTGTGCCAAAGAACGCAGGGCTCTCGAACATATTGCCCTACTCCCTGGGCCACTAAGCCTCAGTGTTGCAATTGGACACGTGTGTTATCTGACCCAAGGCCATCGGTCATCTGGGCAGGTGGGGACAGTGCTTCCTGGGGCTTACTAAATGGGATCTTGCAGACCAGACTTATGCCAGTGGCTGCCACTGTATCACTCATTTCCCCCGGACGTATTGAAAATCTTAGAGAAGAGGCTTAAACTACTCACTGGGCCACACTTAGCAGCGTCGCAGCAGCAGGGCTGAGCGTGTGAAGAAGTTAATATCTGACGCATGCTGTAGCTGAATCCCATTACAGAGGTAATTTCCAGTTCTCACTACTCTGATGTAAGTTCCAGCATCCCACAGGGACCAACAATCTTGCTGTATTTCTTATGCAGCTATGTTCGGAAGGATACTTGTGCGAGTACTTGTAAATCCACTTGGCACTTTGCAAACATAGTCAAAGAGCCTGTGGTCTGAACAAGGAAAGACAGACAAACCCAAGGTGAGAGACGGGGCAGCACATCAGAAGAGGGCGTGGGTACAGGGAGCAAAAGAGAGGAAAGCTGTTTGAAAGAGGTGGGATTTTTATGTCGAGCGGCTGATGGAGGGGAGGCTCTCCAGGCCTAGAGGGTGGCATGCTTAATCAGATAGTGGAAGATGGCAAAATTTAATTGCAGTTTTAGCAAGGATCAAAAGGACTAATGGGGAAACAGTGAGTTGATGCTTGAATATGTGTGTCGCAGTGAGCAGCCCTGGGAGAGCCAGAGGCTTTAAGAGGCTTACTAAGGGGCTTGCAAGTTTTCAGGTAGCTGCTTCAGAGCACTCTGAGGAGTGTTACAGCCTTGAAGATCATGGGCTTCACAGGCCTGGCCACTCACTTGGGAAATGACAGAGGGCCCAGAACAGAAGCACCTCCAGGAGCTCTTACGTGGCACTGCGAAGCAGCACCTGCTTCCCCCAGCCTTGTGCAATGGGCAAATGCCACGTGCAACATTATGGGAGGAGGAGAAGGGCCTAAGGAGACCAGGACCAGGACTATCCCTCCCTCCCTCCCTCCCTCCCCGCTCCAGCGAGCACCTGGTCAAGTGCAGACGGGGCCCAGAGGTGGTGCACATGGAAATCCTGGAGATCTGGTGATTTGGGAAGCAGAGCTGTCCAACTGGTAGCCCGTGGGCTGCATGTGGCCTGCGAGGAGTTAACAAGTGGCCCCTGGGTTTCCACCCTGCTGCCTCCACCTCTCTCGCTCTGCCTGGCGCGTGGTTCCCTCTAGCATGGACTACGGCTGCTGATGGTTAAACAGCCCTGAATTACAGCGCTCAGCTTCTAACGCAGGCCCTTGGACAAGCCGTGAAAACCCCTCCTCGAATACAACAAAACCTTTGAAAAAGGCTTAAAGCTTCTGCTCGCAGGTATGTAACATGGGCATAGAGCATCCTTGGCATCTCCTGACCAGAGGGGTTTATCTACTCTAATAACAGGAAATCACAGTTACAGACACACATGGATAGCTTATGACAGTCAGCTGGTGCACCCTGGTCCCTGCTTTTCATGCTGCTCGGTATTCTCCCCTTATCTTCCCTTATCTGATGCTTAGGTTATTAGCTCTCTGGGACTGACAACTGTCCGTTGTTGTGTACAGCACAGCAGCAGAGTCTTGGGCTACGACTCTCGTCTTAGATACTACTGCAGCACCAATAGTTTGTAATGAATAAGGTTGTTTTTTTTTCCCCCCGCAAAGGAAATGTTTGAGACATTTGCTCAATCTTGCCCACGTGTACCTGTAAGTGGGGAACCTTGCATTCCCAAGCAATATCTAGCTTGCCAGTGGCTAAGCTGTGTATTCATTAAAGGGGGCTAGATGAGACTGACATTGGGCTTTTCTTTTTTCAATAAACGGCATCCCCACTTTGGCACGAGCGACCTTTTGTACACGTGTGTGATAAAGGACATAGCTAAGTGGCACTGCATTAAGTGAACCCTGCCCGTCTCCCAATTTTTGACCCCATCAATAGCACATAAGAAGCTAATACTAAATATGCTGCTACCTGCTCCCCGAAAGAGCGACCGCTCTGCTCTTCCAGCATCCCGAGTTGCAGCAAACTCGTCCACGGGAGTGACTGAATTGGGAGAATCAACTCACTTCCAGCAGTGCTGGAGGGAGTTGCGCGGTTGGATCTGGAGCTTCTTGGGGCACAGGAGTTTGATGAACGCTCTTCTGAAGCTGTAGTGGCAGAGGGGGTAGAGCACGGGGTTGACGGCAGAGTTGATCCACAGGAGCCAGAAGGAGGCCTCGTACCAGTAGTCAGGGATGCAGTGGCCATGGCAAGCAGCTCGGATGATCATGAGGAGGGTGTATGGTGCCCAGCAAATCCCAAAAATGCCTACAAGAACTGCTAGGGATTTTGCCACTTTCTTGTCCCTGGAGAGCCTGAACCGCTGCGTGATGCCCTGGGAGACCGTCTGCATCCGTTTCTCTAAAGACAGGGTAGAGGCTGAGTTTTTCCAGTTCTTTCTGCTGAAGGTCTTTGGCTTCCCAGGGCTCTTCGAGCCTGCGTTCAGTGCATCTCTGGGGCTCGGGCTGGCCTCAGCAGCTGCTTGCGGCATGTCGCATTTTGGAAGGTCTGGGGACTCGGCTGGCTCCTTCTGCTCCCACTTGCAGCATTTCAAAGACAGCTTTGCTTCTGGGCTCGTTTCCATCCCTTCTGTGAAGGGCTGGCTGTGCACTTCCTGAAAGAGATCCAGGCGCATTTTGGTGCGTCTCTGAATGTTCATGTAGATGCTCAGGTTGAAAAACATGACGCTGATGAAGGGCGTGAAGAACTCCAGGATGGAGGCTGTCATGAGGAAATACCAGTTGTAGAAAAACTCAGCATAGCATTCCCCGTCCGGGATGTTACTCTGGCCTGTGATGTATTCCCAGCTGATAATTGCAGGTCCGTAAAGCAGGAAGGCTAACACCCACACCATCACCATCTTCAGCACCGCTTGCTTCGTATTGCCTTGCTGGGCTCGGTATGTGACCTGGGGAGGGGAAATCTTTTCTTAGACGTGACCAAAAATACCAACTGGTTTAGGCTGCTTTACAGATGAACTGCAGTGTTTCTGGCAAAGTTGCTAGGCAATATCGCAGCAGTGTCACAAATCTTTGCCCGGTAGGCAATGGACACAATTGCTAGATATTTCACATGCTCCCTTGGTAAGAAATGAGACCCCTGGTTTTCAGCTCCAAAAATACACCTGGCTCATGACCTGGCTTTACACCGTCAGGAATTGAGTCAGTACATTTCGGGTAGATAACCACCCCTTAGGTTGATTGACTCTGAATATAGAGCTGAGCCCACTCTCAGCAGCTAGTGGCGGGGGGG